AACGGTCAACAGTTTAACACGAAAAAATTAACCCAATTTGATCAAGAGACAAGCAAAATATTCCTTGTTTTCGCAGATCAATTTGGGTTGGAGATTTTCAAACACTGATAACCAGGAAAAAATTAAGCGGGTTTAAAAATTCGCTCAGAAATCCCTGAAGGCAGTGGCAACATGAAACTTTCAACAATTTTAAACGAGGATTTGCTGTTTTCAACAAATTTCTCCCCAAGTTTTTTCCTTTTTTTTTGCTGGAGATGCGAATTTTCAAACATACATCGACTAGTTTTCGCGTGCAAAAAATTTGCGAAATTCAAAATGTTCTTTACTAGTACACCCTCCAATGATAATGACAAACTACCAAGTTTTAAGACTGGTAAAGCAAATCTTTCCCTTTTCGGGGAATGTTTCCGCTAATTTCCAGCTCAATCCTCAATTGAGAGGCAAATTCCATCACACATTGAAACGTTTGCTCATGAAAAATCAATTTTGAAACTTTTCGCTGAAATCCCTGATGACGGTGGCAAATTGAAACTTTCAGAATTCATGGAAAAGAGTTTGCTCTTTCCAAGGAAATTTTGCGCAATTCCCCGGCTCAATTCGTCGTTCTGGTACGGTTTTTCAAACACAGATAAGACTTTATAGCGGCAAAAATAAACGGGGCATAAAAATTAGCACAAAAATCCCTGATGAAGGTGGAAAACTGAAACTTTCAGCATGAATAAAAAATATTCTCTTGTATCAAATCCTGCTCAAGTTTCTGCGTTTACTTGTGAGCGCGATAAGAATTTTTATATAGATATCGACACTTGCTGCAATAAAAAATCAACCAATTTTGAAAATTTTCTCTGCAATCCCTGACGAAGGATGCAAACTGAAACTCTCGGAATTCATAGAAAAAACTTTGCTGTGTCTAAGGGAATTTTGCGCAAATCTTCAGCTCAATTCGTCGTTCTGGTGCGAATTTCCAAACACCGATAAGACTTTATAGCGACAAAAATGAACGGGGCATAAAAATTAGCACAAAAATCCCTGATGAAGGTGGAAAGCTGAAACTTTCAGGATGAATAAAAAATATTCTCTTGGATCAAATCCTGCTGAAGTTTCTGCGTTTACTTCTGAGTGTGATAAGAATTTTTTGATAAATATCGACAATTTCTGCAATAAAAAATCAACCAATTTTGAAAATTTTCGCTGCAATACCTGATGAAGGATGCAAACTGAAACTTTCAGAATTCATAGAAAAGACTTTGCTGTTTTCAAGGAAATTTTGCGCAAATCTTCAGCTAAATTCGTCGTTCTGGTGCGAATTTCCAAACACCGATAAGACTTTATAGCGACAAAAATAAACGGGGCTTAAAAATTAGCAGAAAAATCCCTGATGAAGGTGGAAAACGGAAACTTTCAGGGTCAATAGAAAATATTCTCTTGTATCAAATTCTGCTCAAGGTTTGCATTTACTTGTGAGCGCGATAAGAATTTTTGTATAAAGATCGACACTTTCTGTCATAAAAATCAATCAATTTTGAAAATTTTCTCTGAAATCTCTGATGACGATGGCAAATGGAAACTTTCTAAATTCATAGAAAAGACGTTGCTCTTTCCAAAGAAATTTTGCTGAATTCTTCAGCTCAATTCGTCGTTTTGGTACGAGGTTTCAAACACAGATAGGACTTTATCGCGACAAAACTGAACGGGGCATAAAAATTTGCACCAAAATCCCTGATGAAGGCGGAAAACTGAAACTCAGGATTTATAAAAAGTATTTCCTTTTTTGTATCAAATTCTCGTCGAGTTTCTGCCTTTTCTTGTGAGCGCGATACGATTTTTTATACATAGATCGGACACAGCTCCTTTTGTAACTTGGCCAACTATTAAAATTTCTCCTGTAATACCTGGGGATGGCAGTGGAACGAAACTTTCACCAATTATAAAAGATGCTTTGCCCCTTCCAACGAAATTATCCTCAATTGTCTAGTTCGACCTCCGTTTAAAATACGAGGTTTTATTCTGACAGTGTTTGTAGGTGAGACATTAAGGGGTTTAAAAATTTTTCCTGAAATCCCTGATGACGGCCCCAAATCTTCACCTTTCATGGGCCAATCTTTGGGCTTTTCAGTGACACTTTCGTCCTTTTTCCAGCTCAAATTGTTTTTGCGGCCCGACTTGCAGAACGAAATTTCAATCAGAGATCGACATTTTCCCGCTTGAAAAATTTGCTTGATTTAAAAATTTCCCCTGAAATCCCTGATAATGGTGGCGAAACAAAACTTTCAATATTTCTAAAAGATACCCTGCTGTTTCCAATGAAACTATCCGCAAGTGCTTAACTGGATTTTCGCCCGAGTTACAAATTTTCGAATATACATGGACACGCTTGCTAGTGAAAAATGATGAGGTTTCGAAAATTTCCCCTGAAATTCCTGGAGACCATGACAATATGAAACTTTCACGAGTTTTACCAGATGCTTTTCTCTTCCTTGCAAAATTCTTCTTGCGTTTCTGTTTGAGTTCAGTTAACGATAAGAATTCTCAAACGTACCGATCAACAAGCTTACGCGCAACAAATTAGGCGTTTTCGAAAATTTGCGCTATAGTTCCTGATGATGGCGACAAGGTGAAACTTTCTCAGCTCATTAAGGATACTTTGCTCTTTTAAAAGCGCTTTTTTGCAAGTGCCGTTATCCATCTGTTCTGGAAATATGATTTTTCAAACCTCGATCGAGACTTCGGCTCATGCCATGAACAATTAGCAGGTTTCGAAAAGTTCTTCTCAAATCCCTGATGAGGATTGCCGATGCAAACTTTCAAAATTGATAAAAGACAGTTTGGGGTCTCCAGTGAAACTTTCGTGATGTTTCTGATTCAATTTTTCTGGGAGCTTCGAATTTTTCCACATAGATCGACATTTTTTGAGGAAAAATTAACCAGTTTGAAAATTTTTCCCGAATTCCCCGAAGGTGGTAAAAAATTCAAACTTTCCAGTCTTATAACGTGCCTTTTTCTCTTTCGGGTGACGGTTTCCACAATTTTCTAGCTCGTTTTGGCCTTGCGAGGCTACTTTTCAAACATACATCGACACATCGCGTATGGAAAACTCGATAACTAAAATTCGAAAATTTGCTCAGAAATTCTGATGAAGATGGTGAATTGAAACCGGCAGGATTTATAAAGAAAAACTCTGGTCTTCCCAAGGAAATTGCCCCCAAGTTTTCCTGCTATTTGGTGTTTGAGATACGAATTTTCAAACCAACAGTGACACGTTTACGCGTGAGATGTTAAGCGGTTTCGAAAATTTCACCGAAAAAATGCTCGAAAATGGTAAGTTTTAGGGTTCACAAAAAGTTTCTTTTCCAGGGAAACTTCCCACGTTTTCCAGCTCAGTTTTATTTGAGCTTCAAATTTTAAGCTCTTAACTCGCGGTTGAAATTTGAATTTTCAAGCGAAGAAAATTAAGCAGATTTGAAAATTTCCTCTGAAGTCCCTGAGAATGACAACAGTATGAAACTCTGAGGATTCATAAAAGCGTCTTTGCCCGTTCCGGTAGAACCTTGCGCATTTTCCCCAGTCAATTTGCACATAAAACGCGAAATTTCGAGCCCAGATGGACGTTGAGGGTAGGTTAAAAAAAACGCTTCAAATAAACCATTTTATTTCTGATATGTCGGTACATAAATAACACATTGTGGAAAGTTTTAGATAAGAACCTGCCTGGGCAGGTTGACGGGCAAACTCCTCAACATTAATTTCACTAGGAATGTCCAATAGTTGTAAAGAAACCAACACAACAAGCCATGAAAACGTATTGCTTTTATACTTGAAACTGGGGGGGAAAAGGGTGGTAGTGATTTGCGGGTGTTTTTACAGTGCAGTGATCATCACGTTAACGAAATAGTTATCATCTACGGTTAATTTTAAGCGGTATAAAAATCCTTTTTCTTAAGAGCCTCAGTGGGGAAAAATGATTAAAGTGTGTTTGTGGGGGTAAACATGCGAAAAGCCCGAGGAAAACTCGCCCCCCGACAGAATGTCTCTATCAATAGTCATTTACAGCTAATATAATATAGTATTTCTTACACGTCTAAACCATTGTCTTTAATTATTGTGCAGTGAGAAGAGTTTTAACAAATGTTTTAAGCGATTAGAATTCGATAAGCCACTAAGAAGACTCGCTCGTAAAGTCACTCGGAAATTATCTAGATCTAGAACTCCAAATAATATAATATAATACAAAATATACAGTGAAAAAATCACGTGAAATCAACAATACTGGATAATCAGGAAATACTTTTATAATACATTCGCTCAATAAGTAAACATAGAAATATATCAACAACGATTAAATTAGATAAGGAAAGTAAAAATAGACTATCAGTTATCACCCTGTGTAATATTTACAAAACATTGATCCCGCTATATGTTATTGTACGAGGTCGGAAATTTAAGGGGGCAGGATTGACTGTTTTTTCAACAAAGTTTTCGTCAGAACGAAGTATCCGTTTCCCGGTGAAAATTGCCGCTCGATTTTTGGGTCTGAGATGCAACTTCTATCGCCAGTTTCCGCATAAAAAATTGACTAAATTGGAAAATTTGCTCAAAATTCTCTGATGAAGGAGAAAAACTGAAACTTTCAGGCCCTGTAAAGAAGACTTTGCGCTTTCCAATTAAATTCGTCCAAATATTTCTGATCTATTTATGCTTTACATGCGAGTTTCTATGCAAATGGTCACACTTTAGCTTTTTCAAAATTTGCTAGTGTAAAAAATCCATCTTCCAGGTGGAAAATCCAAATGCGCATATAAAAAAGAGAGTTTCTCTGTTCCTTATGAAAAACTCCCCATGATTCTCCTTTAATTTGTAATCAAGTTACGAATTTTTATTTGTACATGCATCCACCTTTTTACTCTTGAAAATTAGCTAGTTTCACAAATTTACATTAAAATTCCTGATGATGGTGGCCAATGGAAACTCTCCTGCTTATAAAATTATTTTTTTATTTCCTGCGAAAGTTTCTGCAATTTTGAGCTGAATTTGGGCCTGAGCTGCAAATGTATACACATACATCGACACTTTTACTCACAAAAATTCAGTCATAAATCGAAAATTGGCACGAAAATCCTCGAAGACGGTGGAAAATCGAAACTTTCAGAATCTGTAAAAGAGACTTTGTCCTTCTAAATGAACTTATTTGAGAATATTTTTCCGCTGAGTTTTCACAATTTTACAGCTTTGTCTGGGCTGGCGATGCAAATTTTCGAACATTCATCGACACTGGTATTAGTAAAAATTCGATAATAGTCTCAAAAAATTTGCTCAGAAATCCCCGGTGTAGCTTGCTAACATTAGCTCTAATGTTGAGGAAAACACATTAAAAATTGCGTTTCTGCGATTTCCAGTTTGAGGGCGACACATTTTTAGAGTGCGGACTGCGGAACAAAAAACCCAACTTGAGCCTTCTAAAATTCGTTAAAAACCTTATAATGGACCGATTGAAACCAAACTCCCGGGGCATCTTAACCAGACTCTTCCTCATATTGAGCAAAAAAAATTCGCGCTTCTGTCTATTCTAGTTGGCAAGTGACGATTTTTTTCAATCCTGTACTGAGGCACAAAAACTCAACTTAAAATTTTGAAAACTGCTCAAAAAGCTGTTGTGGGTCTGATTAAATTTAAACTCAATGAGAATCTCAATAAAGCTCTTCCTCACATCGAGGAAAAAAATCGCTCTCATATCTCTTCGAATTAAGGAGAAACGATGTTTTGAATCGCGGACTGAGGCACAAAAACTCAACTTGAAATTTTGAAAATTGCTAAAAAAGCTGTTGTGGGTCTGATTAAATTTAAACTCACTGAGAATCTTAATAAAGCTCTTCCTCACATCGAGGAAAAAAAATCGCTCTTCTATCTCTTCTAATTAAGGAGAAACGATTTTTTGAATCGCGGAGTGAGGCACAAAAACTCAACTTGAAATTTTGAAAATTACTTAAAAGCTGTTGTGGGTCTGATTAAATTTAAACTCACTGAGAATCTCAATAAAGCTCTTCCTCACATCGAGGAAAAAAATCGCTCTTATATCTCTTCGAATTAAGGAGAAACGATGTTTTGAATCGCGGACTGAGGCACAAAAACTCAACTTGAAATTTTGAAAATTGCTAAAAAAGCTGTTGTGGGTCTGATTAAATTTAAACTCACTGAGAATCTTAATAAAGCTCTTCCTCACATCGAGGAAAAAAAATCGCTCTTCTATCTCTTCTAATTAAGGAGAAACGATTTTTTGAATCGCGGAGTGAGGCACAAAAACTCAACTTGAAATTTTGAAAATTACTTAAAAGCTGTTGTGGGTCTGATTAAATTTAAACTTACTGAGAATTTTAATAAAGCTCTTCCTCACATCGAGGAAAAAAATCGCTCTTCTAGCTCTTCGAATTAAGGAGAAACGATTTTTTGACTCGCGTACTGAGGCACAAAAACTCAACTTGAAATTTTGAAAATTGCTAAAAAAGCTGTTGTGGGTATGATTAAATTTAAACTCCCTGAGAATCTTAATAAAGCTCTTCTTCACATCGAGGAAAAAAATCGCTCTTCTATCTCTTCTAATTAGGGAGAAACGATTTTTTGAATCGCGGACTGAGGCACAAAAACTCAACTTGAAATGTTGAAAATTGCTCAAAAAGCTGTTGTGGGTCTGATTAAATTTAAACTCAATGAGAATCTTAATAAAGCTCTTCCTCCCATCGAGGAAAAAAATCGCCTTTCTATCTCTTCGAATTAAGAAGACACGATTTTTTGACTCGCGGACTGAGGCACAAAAAATCAACTTGAAATTTTGAAAATTGCTAAAAAAGCTGTTGTGGGTTTGATTAAATTTAAACTCAATGAGAATCTTAATAAAGCTCTTCCTCACATCGAGGAAAAAAATCGCTCTTCTATCTCTTCGAATTCAGGAGAAACGATTTTTTGACTCACGGACTAAGGCACAAAAAATCAACTTGAAATTTTGAAAATTGCTATAAAAGCTGTTGTGGGTCTGATTAAATTTAAACTCAATGAGAATCTTAATAAAGCTCTTCTTCACATCGAGGAAAACAATCGCTCTTCTATCTCTTCTAATTAGGGAGAAACGATTTATTGAATCGCGGACTGAGGCACAAAAAATCAAATTGAAATTTTGAAAATTCCTCAAAAACCTGTTGTTCGCCCGATTAAAACTAAACTCACTGAAAATCTTAATAAAATTGTTCCTCACATCGAGGAAAAAAATCGCTCTTCTATCTCTTCTGATTAGAGAGAAACGATTTTTTGAATAGCGGACGGAGGCAGAAAAACACAACTTGAAATTTAAAAAATTGCTCAAAAAGCTGTTGTGGGTCTGATTAAATTTAAACTCAATGAGAATCTTAAACCTCTTCCTCACATCGAGGAAAAAAATTGCTCTTCTATCTCTTCGAATTAAGGAGAAACGATTTTTTGACTCGCGGACYGAGGCAGAAAAACTCAACTGAAAATTTTGAAAATTGCTCAAAAAGCTGTTGTGGGTCTGATTAAATTTAAACTCACTGAGAATCTTAATAAAGCTCTTCCTCACATCGAGGAAAAAAATCGCTCTTCTATCTCTTCGAATTAAGGAGAAACGATTTTTTGACTAGCGGACTGAGGCAGAAAAACTCAACTTGAAATTTCGAAAATTGCTAGAAAAGCTGTTGTGGGTCTGATTAAATTTAAACTCAATGAGAATCTTAATAAACCTCTTCCTCACATCGAGGAAATAAATCGCTCTTCTATCTCTTCGAATTAAGGAGAAACGATTTTTTGAATCGCGGACTGAGGCACAAAAACTCAACTTGAAGTTTTGAAAATTGCTAAAAAAGCTGTTGTAGGTCTGATTAAATTTAAACTCATTGAGAATCTTAATAAAGCTCTTCCTCACATCGAGGAAAAAAATCGCTCTTTTATCTCTTCTAATTAAGGAGAAACAATTTTTGAATCGCGGACTGAGGCACAAAAACTGAAATTGAAATTTTGAAAATTCCTCAAAAACCTGTTGTTGTTCCTCACGTCGAGGAAAAAAATCGAGCTTCTATCTCTTCTAATTGGGGAGTGACAATTTTTTAAATACCGGAGCGAGGCACCAAAAACGCAACTTAAAATTTCTAAAATTCCTCAAAAACCTGTTGTTGGCCCGATTAAATCTAAACTCACTGATAATTTTAATTCAACTCGTCTTCACGTCGAGGAAAAAAATCGCTCTTTTACCTATTCTAGTTTGAGAGAGACGCATTTGAATTGAAGCGCGAAAGAACTCAACCAAAGGTCACTCCTTTAGGCCCCAAAATCCCATTTTTCCCAAATTTCTCATTGAAAAAACACAAGCCTGCCGCTTAACAATTCCCGACCCCGCCTATGCTTTATTCGCAACAACGATTAGATCCGTTATCTGAACTAAACAGGGGCGTACCCGAGGTTTTTTCGCTGCAAAAACATGTGTATTTCCCTGAATGTGGGCCTGTCGTTGGCCTCGCGCCTCCAACACTCCAACATCAGGCTGTAGATGTCTTGATTGTTCGATGGCTTCGGTAGGTACTTGTATTTAATATCATCACAGTGCTGCCTAAATTTACCCCCCAAAAACAATTACGTTACATTCCAGATTCCTTTACCTTAGCAGCAACTTACCTTCCTAAATTCTCCACCACTTCCGGATCAGTCATGTAGTCGTACGGTTGCCTTCTGCAGAGCGTCAAAATCTCCCATAGCGTAACTGCAAACGACCAGACGTCGCTTTTCGTTGTATACTTCGATTTAAAGACCTGTTAGAAAAAGGGCATCGGCATAAGTTGCGTGCATCGGCATCAACTAGGTTACTTACAGCCTCCCAAGCCGCCCACCGGATGGGAAGCGGGGTGTTTCCATCCACTTTGTAGTAGTCATTCACATAGAGTTCGTTGTAGGTGCCATAGTCGCAAATCTTCAGCTGGTAGGCTTTGCCTATTAGGCAATTGCGCGTTGCCAAGTCCCTAGAGCCGATTATCGCGATGTAACTTTTTCGAAAGTTCCCTCTGCTCATGGCTTACCGATGGACGAAGTTCAGCGTCTCCAGATACCGCATGCCGCTGGCGATTTGCGTGGTTATGTACATTAGGCAGTTGAAGCTGAGACTTTTCACTCCAAAAGGCAACGTGGCGTTGTTCTCGCTGGTCACGTGAATCTTCAGGAACTGGCACAAATCGCCGTGTTCCAGATACTCCTTGACCACGCACAGTGGCTCCTCCTGGCTGCAGATTCCCAACACTCGCACCAAATTGTCGTGGTCCAGAGCAGCCAGCAATCGCACGTCCCTGTAGAAATCTTCCCTACAAACCAACCCCTTTAATAACCTCGCCAGTCTTAAATCTCCTTCTTGGACTCACTTCTCCTTTTTAGAGGCGTTATCGCCTAAAAACTTAATCGCTACGAATCTAGTGTCTAAAGGGGAAGCGCTGCTATCGGTGATACCGTCGGCCTCAGCTATGTAGACCTGCGAAAAAACTGTGGAAACAAGCGTCTGAGGCGGAGGATTTAGGGTTTACCGTTCCATACGCTCCTTCGGAGAGCTTCGAGAGCATTCTCAACCTACGTCGAGGCAGCTCTTTGATGGTGATTTCTTCCAGACGCTTCTTCAGAATCGTCAAAGCCTCCTGCTGAGTGGGCACCTGAAAATCGAACAATTTGGACTTTAAACTGGCGCTTAGAGCGTTTTAAGGGCTTGTTAAGCACCGGTGTCTTGAAAATCTCATTTTGGTCTGGGACCAGTTTCAAAAATGTCCTCTGAAATTCCTGAAGATGGTGTCAGATTGAAAATCCCAGGGCTTTATTGAACATAATTTCCTCTTTCCAATTAAACTTTTTCCAAGCCTGTCTCTCGATTAGTGCTGCAGATTCTAATTTTTAAGTAGAAATTGGAACATTTGCTTTGGGGAAAACTAACGAGTTGCTAAAACTCTCTCGCAAATCCTTGATGATGGCGGTGGCCAACTGTAACTTTCTGGATTGTTAAACTCCACTTTTCTCTTTCGAATGAAATTTTTCTCAAATTCTGTTTCAATTAGTGCTAAAGATACAAATTTTCAAACTTGACACGACCTTTTAACTCTGGTTAACTGGCAACTGGTTGAGACTAACCAGTTGCGAAAACTCCCTTTGAAACGCCTGATGATGCCAGTGGGGAAATGAAAGTTTCAGGATTTGTAGAATGAACCTTGCTTTTTCCAGTGAAACTTTCCTCAAAGGCTTCTCTCATTCT